AAATGAATTAACAAATGGTGAATCTAGCAATAAGAAAATGTATGAAATTTGTAACGAAAAAGGATACAATACACGAATATATCTAGCAAAAGAAAAGATCACTGCCAATTAATTTCAAGACCAGTGAGAAGGTTGGAAAAGGTCATTTTTTATTCAAAAAATTTTATTTTTTAAAGGCAAAAACAAAAGATTGAAGGTTTACAATAAAGATGTATATATAGTATTGTATAACTGATTAATACACTTATAATATGATACATGTATAATGTAAATTACATTACAATTACAAAATCATGTGCTGATTTTATTAAATCATGTGTCAATTTTATTAAATCATGTGTTTTATTTTTATTGGTTGATAATCACTGGTGTTGAGCACTATTGGTATGATATAACAATGTCATAATTTATATAAATTAAAGTTTTAATATTATAAATTAATAATAATAATATATAAAATATCTTTTTTTTTAAAAAAATAATTTTATTTTAATTTTTTTTAGAAAAGTATTATCTTATTTATTATTAAATTAAAATATATTAAAAGTTAATTTAAATTATTTTTTATTTAATATAAAAAAATTAATTAAAATTTAAATAATTTTTATTAAAAATAGTTATTAATTTTTATATTAGATATAAATTTATTTTTTATATTAAATTATATAATAAAATTTAAAAATTAAAATAATAAAATAATATATTAAAATATTAAATTTATTTATAACAATTTTGATTGGATTATCTTTCTTTAGATCTCTTTTAGCTTAATCTTTATTTTGCGCTATCTGTATAATAGATTAGCTTTGTATTATATTTTCAAGAAGATTATTTTCACTCTGGATACACAGATGATTATTATGTATTAAATACATTTAGATTTAGCATATTATTACTCAGATAATTACTATGTGTATCATAATTACAAATTTAAATTATTAAGATTTTTCTTTTAATAATTCTTTATTTTTTTACTCATTCTCTTTTATTATTATTTATATTATTATTTATATTATAATTTATTATTATTTATAATTATCATTACTTATTGAATTATGATTAGTTACTCTCTGAAAATGTGAATTAAGTTAATTAATTCTGTTTAATCATATGTATTTTATTTATAGATTATTATTAATTTATTTGTATTTCATATTCATTTCTTTTCTTATAAATATGCCTATCTGTTCTGTACTTTTATCTTCAGATCTGAATACTTTTAAATAATAAAAATAATCATAAGTTATAAAATTAAAACTTATTCATATTGCATTTTATCTTATTTACAACTATTAATAAAATAATCTTATAGTAGAGTTGATATGAAATAATCAAGATTTACCTAGAATGATATCATATCTTTGTAATTTCAATATCTATATATCTATTTTATATATTCTATAGATATCTAACTTTAGTTTATCAATCTTTATCATGGTGATAGCTATTATTTTCTTGTTATTAGCAATTTTAACTATAACTGATATTATCTTTTATAATTTAATTTTATTCTTTTACACAAACTTTTTATTTATAAAGTTTTTAGATACATCACTATCAAGCAATATTCAGGCTGATTTGTCATTTACTTGGCTATTAAATTTTAATAATCTTTCTCTATTATCTTCTAAATAAGTAAACTCAACTCTTTTATATAATAATGAAGATTCTTCTTATTTATCTTCAATATTTACAATTTTAACTTTGATTTAGAATAATAATTCTTTGTAAAGTAATCTGATTTATAACAGTTATAATATATATTTTTGAACTTATTATTTTTCTGATTATTATTACTCTTTTTATTATTATAATGACTCTCTGCCTAATTTAATTCCATAGGTATAGTACTATTATTTTGATAACTTTTGTGCTAGTTCTATGAGCAATGATTATTATTTCTGCTTGATAGGTCTAGAGATCTATCTTATTTATATATAGCTATATTATAATGAATAGCTAGCTTTCAAACTTCTAGAATTTCTGGTATCTGATAAATTATCTCTATTTTTATAGCTAGTTTTAGATTTTTTATGAAATAAGTAACTTGATCTAAATCATCCATATTAGTTATTTGACCAACTATATTTCTGAATTTAGTATTATAGTCTTGTATTGAACCAGTTTGACAAAAAGATATAGTTGTCTGTGAAAATATTATTGATAATATGGTAGTTGAAATACATCTCTAAGAACTATAATAAAGACTTCTCAGTTTTTAAAAGGTGAAATACTATTATCTGTCTTGATTTTATTAAGATATCAATGTAAAGTTGTATTTATTAAGAAGGTAATGGCATATTATATCTGAATTATCTCATCAGCAATTTCTTGAGTCTGAAATATCATTTTAACTTGTATTATTCAGATAAGTATATTCTTATTTAACTCTTCAAAATAGATAAATAGTTTTACTAAGAGATAAGATACAGATTTAGAATCAAAGAAATTATTTTCTTTAATTATCTTGATCAATTCAGTTATACTTGCCATAAATTATATGAATTATTCTGAGTTTATTTTGACAAAATATTATTTTATTAAAACTAAAATATATATATATAAAATGTGTAGTATATAATATATAAGTATAAGATATTAGAGAATGATATTTATAATAACTGTATTTATTATTATCAAAATATAAGATTATTTTGTTAATAGTTATAAATAAGATAAAATACAATATAAATAAGTTTTAATTTTATAATTTATGATTATTTTTATTATTTAAAAGCATTTAAATCTGAAGTTACTTTATAGAATAGACAGATTATATTTATAATAAAAGAAATAAATATGAAATATGAATAAATTAATAATAATCTATAAATAAAATATATATAGATTGAATAAAATTAATTAACTTAATTCACATCTTCAGAGTATAACTAATTATAATTCAATAATTAATAATAATATAAATAATAATATAAATATAATAATAAGAAAAATAAATAAAATTATAAAGAAATAATTAATTAAAAATATTAATAATCTAAATTAATAATTGTAATATACATTAGTAATAGAAGTTACAACTAGTCATAACTTTGTTATAATTTTCTAATTGGCAACTGTAATTCTGTTATAATTTTCTGATTGACTATTACAAGTCATAACTAGTTAAGAAGCTATCTTTAATATACATAGTGATCATCTGAGTAATAATATGCTAAATTTAGATGTATTAAATATATAATAATCATTTGTATATCCAAAGTGAAATTGATCTTCTTAGAAATATAATACAAAACTAATTTGTTATACAGATAGTACAAAATGAAGATCTAAATTAAAAGAGATCTAAAGAGAGATAATCTAATCAAAATTATTATATTATACTTTTAATAATAAATCTTTAATAATTCTTATTATAATATTTTATAAATATTTGTAATAATAATATATAATTTTTTTATTTAGTATCTTATATATAAAAGTTACTAAATTTCTTGATTATATCTTTCTATATTTATTAAGTACAAAATTAATATTTGTAATTTAAAATTTGAAATTTGTAATATATTAATATAATTTTAATAAAATCATAATATAAAATCTTTAATTTTTGATTTCAAAATCAATTTTTATAATTAAATTAATACATTTGCAGAGATTATTATTTTTATTTTATATAAATAATTATAATTATGAATATTTTTTATAATTATTTAATAAAAACTAATATAAATATTATAGTAATTATTATAAATATTCAGAATTTTTAATGTAATATTATGAATAATGAAAAATTATCAAAATTATCTGATAATTTAGATTCATCTTCTTTATAATCTGTAAAATAAGTTTAATTTAAATATTTTATAGAATTATTATCAATTATTATTATACTTTTCTCAGTAAAATTTATTGAAAACAACAAGTCAGATCTAACAAAGATTGAAATTATATTATTAAAAATAATATTAAGTAATGCTATTATTTTATTATAGATAAAATTATTCATTATATTATAAAGAAGATATTTATAAATTATAATATAATTCTATTATTTTTATTAAATAATTAATAAATATATAAAGTTAGCTAAATTTATAATTAGTTTTAATTTTTTATAATTTAATAATATTTTTAATAAGATATTATATTAATATATCTTAAGTAAATCTTGTTCTTCATATTAAAAAATATATATTTAAAAAATTTCACAAATTATATTCATTCTTTACCATATAATTTATATACAAATTTAAAAATTTTGAATATTTATGATAACCATTGTGCTCACGTTTAAGAGCAATTTGAATTTATTTTTGAAATAAAAAGACTTTAAAAAATATTTATTTTTATCTTGTATACAATTTATTTTGAATTTTTATCTTATATAATATTTTCTATTTCTTTATATTATTTAAATTATTATCTCATGATTCTAATATTTATTGCTTTATAAATTGTTTTAAAACTTTTTTTGCAAGACATTTAATATTTGATAAATTTTTAAATTGTAATTGTTTAAAAAATTATTATTTTTATTTATAAAAATAATTTTTTGACTTGTTATTTATCAACTTTTTAATATAATATTATTTGTAAAAAAAATGATAATTCTCATTTTAAAAGATATGTTATTTATTGTCATTTCCAAAAAATTTTTATGACTTTTTGTCATTGGTCAATACTGGAAAAGTGAACAAAGTAACAAATAAATATTAGTTTATATAAATTAGCATATCACATAGGCTATCTATTTTACATGATTTTTTATTTACAATGCATATAATAATTTGAAACAAATTTTTGAGACTAGATTTGTCAGTGTTTTGCAATGTTTGTCTATGTATACGTGAATGATAATTATCACAATTATCCAGGAATGCAAAATGTTGCTCAGTAATTAACGATATCCTAGAAACTTCGTACCAAATATGGATGCTAATCTAAATAGCTCATCTCCAAAGAAGCAACAATCAGAGTGCTGCACATGTTCTTGCTCATATGTCATTGACCAAGGATGGGATTTAGTTTCAGCTGACCATTGGAATAGCTTCATCACAAGCAATATCTAAAAGTCTCTCTGATCTAACCCCAGGTCTTCTATATATATTTTTGCATGTTTTATATACTGCAGGATTGCTGCTGGTTTGACCTCTAAAATACAAAGGTTGGTGGAGAAACCTTGCATCCTCCTCCCATTGCTCCTTTGAGCAAAGCATTTATTTCATCCATGGCAAACTCCATCGAACATTATGCAATCAACCATTTGAAGCGCCGAGTAAGCATTTCTATCCATTGTTCTGTAAATGAGCTTCTTCCACATAGATTTATTGTCTTCGGGTGTGCAGTGAATTAAAGGTAATATGTCAAGCTCAGGCATTTCAAACTGAAAAAGCATGCGCAAGATAGCATAAGCTGTGCCTCGTGTGTCGTCATACAGATTACCAGCTCTGAAATTTTTTTATAAAATTGATATTATCTATTACTGCCAATTTTTAAATGTTTAGTCCCAGCTTCAGTCTTTTTTGTGGATTTGCTTCTAGCATGCATTTCTTTTAAGCTTTCGTCTCGTGATCTTTCAAATATGCTACCACATTTACTACACAAAGTATAGCACGCAAGTATGATGCAAGCTTGGGCCGTTCACAAAGATCCAATCACTTGTGGAAGCCAAAATTTCCAATCTCCGAATGCGAGCGTTAGAATGACAGAAGACTGAACAGCTATGCTTTTCAATATTTCGCTTTTATCAAATTCGGCTGTGAAGCTTTTGTGCATTTTTGTTTGCGCTTAACAGCTTCATGCTTTTGATGTTGAAAAGCAAAAACCAAACCATTAAAGCTTGTTAAACATTTTGGCATTTATTTCATAATACTGCTGTAAGAAGCCAAGATTCTTCAGCATTCTCTTATAAGGAGCCAACTGGCACGTGATTTTAAAATTTCAAGAGCGAGTATCTAATTCTTCGCATTTCTTAGCTTCAGTGCGAATTGTTTTATTTGTTTAGAAAAATCAAAACCTTTAATTTTGAAGGCCGTATTGATCACAAATAAGCTGAACAACTCACTGGGTTGTGCAGGTGTTGGAGGTGTTGGATTCAAACTGAGGTTCTCGAAGAGAGCTCGAAGTAAGCGGTCTTTGATTTCATCGTTTTCTGATTGTGCCACTGTTTCGATTAAATTTGCGATGGAGAGAAGATACAATGTCATCCAAATGCTTTGCAGTGCATCCCATGTCTGTTCTTTTTCCTGAACCCGGACGTATATGCAGATGTCCACATTTTTTTCATAACACTGATTGCATACATATCGAGCGAATTATGTATTTTCTGTGTGAGAATTTCTATCAAAGGCTGAATATAGAATCATTCCACGACAAGTACTTGTAGTGACTGATTGTAGACAATCCGTGTATGTTCTGTACAACTTGCTCCACGACTAAAGAAGATCTTTTTTCTATTGCAGAAAAAACATATGCGATAATTGATTTAACTTCTGTCACTCGAACGCTGGCCTTTCAAGCTTTTGTTATGTACGGTGGTTTGGTCATAATTAAAGTGCTTTGAGCATACTCCAAGAATGATGAAGTTCTCTGTTAACATCTTCGACTGCATCCATGTCAACAGATGAGTTCTTGCACCCTCTAACACTCTCCATTTATCGATTATAACGCATGGCGTAGTTGGTTTGCCATAATCATAGGAACTTCTTCAGTATGTTCATCGCTAGTTTCCTCATAGTTCGTCTCTTGCCAAACTGTTATATTCTCTGCATTAAGCTCTCTCTATGGATCTTCTTGACGTTCTGCCGAATCTAAGGCTCGTTCTTACAATTTTGCTCGAAATCAAACAGTGTTATCTTCACAATTGTTTTTATCGTCTGATAAACCCAAGGTCTGAATATCCACCTCTTGTAATTCATCCTGGCTATAGCGAAGAGGCAAGATATCTTGTAAAGTCTGCGGGTAACTGTTTTGCATTTTGTTTGAGCTTGATGATATATATGAAAATTAGAACGAATGAAGTTTCCTCCTTTTATTGATTGAGAGGTCTATAATAATTTTTCGAATGAAAAAAACTAAGGTTTGAGATTCTACTTGCAATAGGTAAAAGAAAGATTTTTTATTTTTCTGCAGGCAATATCATGATATGAGAAAAGCGTTTCTATAGTTCGGCCGTTGTCTCTCCTAGCGCGGCCGAATTCAAACTCCACATACCCTAACATTCCGTTTTGGATCAATAGTAGAAAGATTTTTTTCTGGAAACAATTAGGAAAAAGCGATTTGCCCATGTCTCCTAGCACAACCGAAGTCAAACTTCCACCCCATTCGAGATCAAGACAAATTTTTGAGCACGACACATGAACGTTATCAAAAGCATATATGTTTATTAATTTAAAAAATAATACATAAATTATCCTTCTTTTTATTTAATATATAACCTATCTCTGAAGTATCTTAATTTTTAAGTATTTTATCCCCGCCATCACCCGATCGCTTAATGTATCTGTTTCTAGCTATTGTTCTAGTCACCCTGTCACAATGCATCTGTTTCTATCTAGTGTTCTATCCCCCCAAAATAGTTTATGTTTCTTATTATTAACTTGAATCAGTATTGCGGTAATTAATATTTTTCCGCAAATGTTTCTAGTGTTCTATTCCCACCAATAGCTCATGTCTCTTATTATCAACTTGAATCAGTATTGCGGTAATTGATATTCATTCGCAAATTTCTCTTCCCTCCTCGCCAAGAACTTTCTTTGGACCAAAGGAAATAACAGCCCAATCAGTGCTAACACTTACCCATCGATACCCTAGAAACAAACATTAAAATTGCTCCCAAACATGTAATACAAATTATTCCTAATATTAACCTGCAACACTAGGTTTTTGGCTATTTGCAATAAAGAAATGGTTAAAAATGCGTCCAGAAAATCTTATTTGCAAAAAGGTGCAGCAAAAAGTAGAAAAAAAGTGTATGCATAGTTCAGACGACCGAATAACTTGATTGATCGTACTCTTATCACCTAATTTTTGGGCTCAAGATTATTTCAACGATGCTTTTATCCACAGACAAAACTTTTACTGCTGTTCATAGGAATGTTATGGCCAAAAAAGAACCATGTGCGACACTCCCAGCAATCCACAAATCTAAAAGAATCTTGTGTTTCGGGAGTTTTTTCTATATGTCGATCAAAATTTTTTTGACATGTCACCGTCAAAAATTAACGTTAATTATCGATGATTTTCACTTTATCGACACATGCAAAGAGTAAAGATCAACATTTATTACGTAAATGAAAACAGGTGTGTGTAAATAAGAAAGTGTCGTTTTTTCTCTTGTTATCGACTCTATATCTTGAGGAAAAATCCGGAAAACAATTAAAAAATCTACATTTATCAATGTGGAAGAAAAAAATAATTACTAGTTAAATGGAAATCAATTCGACACTTATTCTTTTACCCACGGAAATTCGCCAAGAAATATTTAAAAATCTCGATAACGCAGCATTATTCAAATGTTTGTTGGTTGATCGACAATGTTGCCGTGAAATAGTGCCGATATTATGGGAAGCCCCATTATCTAAAATACTTAACAAATCACGTATTGACAGAGAAGAAAGGCAAAAAAGATTGGTGAAAGTTGTTAATGTATATCTAGGAAGTTTCACCAAAGAAACTTGGGAATTTCTGCGTGCCAATGGGATCAGTCGACCTCGAAACATCAGAACGCCAGCATTTAACTATGCAGCATTTTTACGACACTATGAGATAACTGCTGTATCTTACGCAACAGTAGAATGGTTACAACAAAAATCGGTCATTCCAACCGTAAAGCAAATGAGAAAACGTGAGGCGTTAAGAAAGTCATTGTGTGCACTCTTTGTGGAACAAGCGCAAACGATACGATCATTTCATAATGACTTAAGTCTTGAAAGCGAATTGTGGGTTATTGACACACCTAAAGAGCATATTGAAAGAATAGGATTGGATCTTCGAGAATTAAGAGTTTCCGGAATCACATTGAACACAGATCTTTTAAGTCTTTTTGAAAATTTAGCTGAATTCTGTCGCTCTATTCGTGGAATTACACTTGCTAACCTTCGTAGCTTTAGTGAAAATATCGTGAACGAGGCGACGAAAAAGACAGCCATTGGATTAAAAAGCGTGATTGAAGCGCAGAGTGAGCTGCAATGGCTCCAGCTATTTCAACTGACTGCTGCTAATACTAAAGTTATCATTAATTCGCTTCACGCTTCATCGAAAACATTACGTGCAATCAAGTTTTTCCGAATTGACTTTAATTTGCTTAAAAAAAACGTTGTGATTGAAGGCTTAAGGAGTTGTGCAAACCTACTTTGCTTAGATTTCACTAAATGCAAAGCAATAGAGCAACAATCATGGATTGAAACAGCCCAATCTTTCAAAAAGCTAGAATTTTTAACCATTACGATATCATTAGTTGCCGAATTTCCTGTTGAATTTATAAAGAAAGTTATTGAAACTAGCAGCCTCAATCTTAAATATTTTCAGCTTAGACAAGAAACATTTACGCAATTTTCTGGATTTGGCGAGAAGATCGTAAAAGAGATACTCCCGTTCATCCTCTTATATAGTCGTAACCTTCGAGTATTTGGCGTTCAAGATTTGAATATGGATAGTATTGTTTCTCTATTAAATTCTTGCCGAAAACTTGAACATCTAGAAGTCTACTCGAAAAATTTAGACGACACTCTTGATATTTTGGCGACAAAACTTCCCCCTTCAATTTATTCTCTGAGAATTCATAAACCTCTGAATCATAGTAACATATCGAGAAAACCCTTGATTGAATTCCTAAAGACCACTCGTAATCATCTGAGACTTCTTTCTATTCATATCAATGATTTCAACGGAATTATTGAAAAAACGGCAAAGGATTATGGCGTCAAATTTATCACTTCGCCGATAGAAGACGGTTTGTATATTTTTGTCATCAACTTGACACATTTACTATATTTAAATTTTTATCGATATTAGTCATAGGTGTTTATCCCGACTATTTTCCGAAATTTTAAATTTTTCCTATGGTATGTTATTTTGAAACTGGATTGATATGCTTACTATATTACTGGCATTGCATAGTCAATAAATAAAATTACCAACCAACTTTTGTTTATATAAATATTCTATTAACTGAATACGTGTTTATTAACCTCCGAGGTTGCATGATCGGACAGAAATCAACTAATTACTTATAGAGGTCTAACTCATCTCACCTGATCTAAATCTATTACAATAAAAAATATATCAATTTATTCAGTAAAAGTAGGGCTTTTTATGCATACAATTAATATCGGATTGGATACCCATTAGCATCAATTACAGCTTGTACTCTTCTCGGCATACTTTGAACCAAATTTCTTAAAATTTCTGATTTAATCGTTTCCCATTCCTCCGCAAGTGCATTCATCAATTCTTCTAGATTTTTGAGGTGAGTTGGACGTGCACGAATTCGTCTTTCCAAAACATCCCACAAATGCTCAATTGGATTTTAGATCAGGGCTCTGGGCAGGCCATGGAAATGAAGTGATTAAATTTTCCTCTTTCCATTGACTGACTGCACCATTTTTGTGGACTGGCGCATTATCCTCTTAAAAAAAGATGAATAGAACTACCTGGCAAATCATTTAGAAATGGCAGATGATTCTGTTCCATTTCTATATACTTTTGACCGGTTATTCCACCTTTAACTTCGATTAATGGTGCAAGTGAATTTTGAGCAAAAACATCTCCACACATTATTCCCTGATTGCCTGTTTTCATACTAGGAAGAAGACAATCAACAACGTATTTTTCATGTGGTCGGCACCAAACCCATTACCAGGAATCATTTCAGAATATTAGGTATCTTGATTCATCACTCCAAATTACTAATTCCTATTCACTAATCCAATCTTTTCTTTTTGAGCACCATTTTAATCGTTTTCCTCAGATAAAAAAGGTTTTTAACCCCAGCCCGACCATAAAACCCATATTCATGAACTAACAGTTACAATATTGAATTTTTTGGTAATTTCATCAACTGCTTGTTGTCGATCATCCTTAACAATATTAATTAACCAATTTTTGTGGTCTACCGCGCCGGGTGCAACTGTAGTTTGACCAAACTCTTTGTATTTATTAATAATAGTATGAACAGTAGATTTGGGTCGTCCTAGAGTATCTCCGATCTTTTTTTCAGACAAATCACACTTCCAAGCGCCGATGATCTCACCGCGCTCAAAATCTGTAAGTTCGTAATTTTGACGAGTATTGATTGGTTTTGGCATCAGTTTTTTTATTTTATTTGAAAGCTTGAGATTTCAGCAAGTAATGTGCGAACCTTTCCTTGTCGCACAATAGACGTTTGAAATTATCACTCGGTAGTGGAATCGGTAATGATTGATATACAATCATTTCCGATTTCAGACTTTTGTCTGCCGAGTGTACTGTACATGCACATATTATAGTTTCCTTTTATGGTATATCTAAGAATTATTCGACTTGAAGAATACATCGTTTTTTTAAATATAATTTCCTATCATGAATTTTCACGTTCAAATTCCTATTCACCCACTTAAGTACACACTTAAAATGATGTTTGTAGATATTAATACAAGAATTAGAAATAAGCGTTATATATGTAATCAGTCAAATTATTCTCTCCAATTTTTAAAATTTATTACATGTACAGTGCCCTGACAAAAGTGAGTGATCACCACGAAATTTTACAGATCGAACGTTAAAAGTTGTTCATATATGAAGTAAATATTTTACTAACACACGGCCATGATGCAATAAGTAAACTTATTCACAATATCTATGTGCATGCATTTTGTAAGTTTCATTGACTTTGTATAAATATTGAGCGAAAAATAATGGCTTACGTCGGAGGTAAAGATTTCGAAAATCTATGTTAAAACGGTAGTTAAAATGCTATTTTCAGAAGTTAATAGCAATGTGTCCTTGCATTATTAAGTAAAAAGATTCACCATATTTTAAAACTTATAAATATAAATTTTCAGACGATTTGGTTTAGATTTCATTGAATAAGAAGTTAAATTATAAGACAATATCCAAATTTTATTAATATTTAGTGGGATTTCCTTTACTTTCTATACAGCAGTAACTCGTCTGGACATACTATCAACAAGAGACTGAATTACACTATTATCTATTTGTGACCATTCTTCTTGCAAATTTGCCAAAGCTCCTCCTTATTTTTTGGTAAGGGATTATGTGCCCTAATCTTTCGTTCTAGAACATCCCATAAATGCTCAATGGGATTTAAATCAGGGCTTTGAGGAGGCCAGGGAAGATTGGTTAGATTGTTTCTAGCCTTCCATTCCTTACTCAATCTTGAGACTTGAGATGTGAATAGGAGCATTATCCTCTTGAAAAATCAAATTTTCCTTATCTTCAAGAGAATCCAAATATGACAAAAGATTATCTTGCAAGAGATTAATATAATCTCTGGAATTGACTCTCCCATCCAATCTGACTAATGGACCAAGTCTATTTTTATAGAAACAATCTCATACCATTATTCCATCTTGTCTGATTTGTGTGTTGGAATAAGGCAATTCACATCAAACTTCTTCTTTAATTGTCTCCACACCCATCTTCTACCATCTCCATTGAATAAATGAAAATATGATTCATCACTCCATATAATTTATTTCCATTTATTTTCCCAGTTTTTCTTCTCCTTAGTCTAATCTAATCTTTCTTTTTGTTTCTTTCATTAACATAAGGTTTTCTGATATCTATACGGCCAAAGTAACCAGATTGATGAAGTTCTCATTGAATAGTTCTTTCAGAAATAACTATTGAAGTTGAATCTGCAAATCTATTTCAAATTTCTAATAATAATATTATTTAAGATGCAAGGTAAAAAGTCAACAAATAATTTTATTATAATATAAAGTAAATTGAGAATTCTACCTGAAAGCATCAATTTTCTATCTTCTTTAATAATTCTCAATAAAGTATATTTATTTCTTTCTGATATTATTTTTTGTTTTCTCTTTTAAGAAGGCTTAATGAGTTCATGATCTTTATAAGTTTTAATAACTTTCTGAACAGTTATATAAGGATGATCAAATATCTAAGTAATATTTCTGAGACTTGATCTCACTTTCCAAGTACCAATAATCTGTGCATGCTAGAAGTGATTTAGTTCTTTTCTTTTAGAAGCTATATTATATTACAAGTACAAAGTTATATAAATTTTTAATATCAGATAACTGCATCTCAACTAGTTGCTTATATAAAAACTTTTTATTCTGTTTGTTAATAAATAAATATGTACTAATAAAAGTTATTAATAATAATAACATGTATCTTCTTGTGAAATATGACTGGATTCTAGCAAATCACTAATGATATATAATTACAAAGACTTAAATTTTAGAAAATCTACTTTTAGGATTAGTATTCAATGAAATCTAAACCAAATCATCTGAAAATTTATATTTATAAGTTTTAAAATATGATAAATCTTTTTACTTAATAATATAAGTATATATTATAATTAACTTCTGAAAATAATATTATAACTACCATTTTAATATAGATTTTTAAAAATCTTTATTTTTGATGTAAGTCATTATTTTTTGCTTAATATTTATACAAAGTTAGTGAAACTTACAAAACATATATATATAGATATTATAAATAAGTTTACTTATTATATCATGATCAAGTATATTAGTAAAATATTTACTTCATATATAAATAACTTTTAATATTTGATTTATAAAATTTTATAGTGATCACTTATTTTTGTTGGAGTATTATATATATAATAATATAAGTCTATATATTTATTATCTATAATAGTCATACTTATTCTAATTTTTTAAGTTATATATATAAATAATATATATAAATATTAAATATATATATATGCAAAATATACATAGATATAAGATATTTTTATACTTAACTCAAAAGTTAGCTAAAAATTGAAAACATATATATAATAAAATTTACAAGCTAGACTTATAGTAATATTTAAAAATAATGCATTACTAGAATGAAAAAATGAGTTATGAAATTTTTAGCAATATAGATATCACAGATAAATAAAACTTAGCTTATATATAGTTAAAAATATAAATAAATAATATATAAAATTTAAAGAATAAATATAATATCACTTTACTTAACTTGAACTTTATTATATCAAACTGATAATATATTTTTTTTGATTATTTTTTCTCTCAAAATAAATATATAAATGGATAAAAATACATAACAAAATAAAATATATCTCTTATAAATAAAATATACTTATAAATAGTGATGGGAGCCGTAACTAGCTGCAACTCTGTTGTAATTCTCTGATTGGCTGCTGTAACTCTGTCATAATTCTCTGATTAGCTGCCGCAAGCTGCAACTAGTTGAGAAGCTATCTTTACTTATAAATTCATTCTTTTATCTCATATAATTAAAATTATTATGATATATATTCCTATCAAAAAAAGATTCCAAATTTATACTCTTCTTAAAGAAGAATATTCTTTTCATTATATTGCAAATCATAAAAATATTTCTCAATCTTCCATTATAAGAATAAAGTAAAAAAATGATACTTATAATATTTTTAAAGATTTATCAAAACCAAATCATTCTAGAATTTTTACTAGATATGATGAATAAAATATTATATATCTAATTTTAAATAATAGTTTTCTTACTATAATATCTATCCAAAAAAAATTAAAAACTAATAATAAAATTAATATTAGCACAAGTATAATAAAATAAACTTATTATTATAATAGTCTTTCTTCATGAATTAAGTAAAAAAAAAACTATATCTCAAAAAAATTTATAAACAAATATCATTATTAGACTATTAATAATTAGAACAAAATTATCTGATCAGATAAATTAAAATTTATAATTTTTAATTTAGATGAATACAAATATTACTAGAAATATAATAATAAATTTTTGAAAAAGCATCATGTGAAATCTATAATAAAATTTGGAGATAAAAATATAATATTTTGAAGTTACTTTGAATTTT